CAACCACTGCATTTTAATCATGATCTGCACGGGCAGTTGTTTTTGATTTGATTTAGATTAATTTTAGGATTTAAAACAAAAACAGAATGGTCTGACTTTAGGTGTTATTTATTTATTTGCTACATAAAACATCTGCGAAAACAAAAACAGCAGATCTGAATGAGACGCACTCTCCGACAGCAGGTGGCACTAATGAACAGGGTTGCCAGGTTTTCGCAATAAAACTAGTCCAATCATGTTTCGAGCGGGGATCCCCTGTAAAAATCGCATTCCGGGGGTAAAATACAAGTTTTTCGGCGGGGATCTTCCAGTAAAATTCACATTCCAGGGGCTAAATATCACGTTATTGGGGTCGCTTCAACCCGCGGCAACAGTGTTAAAGTAGCCCAATTCCACGGGAAAACCGCGGACTTGGCAACACTGCTTATGAACCAACCACAATATAGCGTTTCCGTGTTTACCACTGTAAACAAAGCAGAGCTGCGCTTTATACGGAGGAGAAGAAAATGCCATTGCCATCGAAACTTTTCTCAAGACAGTTCCCTTCAGTGATACATTAATATAACCCCAGAAATGTAATGCACTTTTGTACTTATTTTCCTGTTATTTTCGGGATCGACTGGTTGGCGACCACTGCTCTAAGGGTACAATAAGATTGCAGTAACCTAAATAACCAGTGTGACCAGTCTGTCAGCTTTAATCCCACTTTCTGTCAGGTCTCATTCTTTGCATTATCAAACAAAAGGGAAAGCCCACCACCCCTAGCAACTAACAGAAATTGATTTACTAAAGGGAACGGACCGGTTCCAGTGATAATGGTGACAAAGTTCTCCATGCCTTTCCCATGACCAAACTTCCTCTCAGCAAGGGCGGCACAGTTGCCATCATTATCGACCCACACGGGGAGATGAAGTGCACTAGAAAGAGGTGTACGGATGTCCACCGAACTCCACTCGTTGATTAGCTTAGTGGAGTGGAGGACTATCCCATCTTGTGGGTTCACTCGCCCCCCTGTGCTCACACCTGAAAGAAATGGACAGTGAATGAGTGAGTGAATTTATAGACACATAGAAAAAGACCTGGGACAAACGCAGACATACCGACACCCAGGATTCTGCAGTTGAGGTGAACGGCGTCAGCCATGGCCTGTTTGCACATGGTCAGTATCAGCTCTATCCTCTCCTCAAACGTCTTAGGATTCAACTGGACATATTTCTTAACCACTTTACCCTGAAATACAAGCACACATTTACAAGATGAAATCCTCAATATTTGAAAATATTTTACACCTAATTTCATGGAAATGTAAACAACAAACAAACAAATATGACGCAACAAAGACAACCAACTATTAAACCATCACAATGAAATTCTGCAGGAAAAATTACATAGTAAATGACTTCACCTTTAATTTCTTAGCTCGATCACATTCCGCAAGATACACTACCATTCAAAAAATTGGGATCAGTCAGAAAGTCATATATTTATATATATATATATATAAGTCGAAATAAATTAATATTTTAGGCAAGGATGCATTAAATTGACAGTAAAGGCATTTACGGTACAAATGATTTTTATTTCAGACTTTCTATTCATCAAATCAAATAAGTATCACACAAAATTAAGCAGCACAACTGATAATATTAATAATGATTATTTAAAAACATTTCCTTGATAATAAAAAAAAAGATTTTTTAAATAAGAGATGTTTCTTGAGCACCAAATCAGCATATTAGAAGAATCATGTAACACTAAAGCTGAAAATTCAGCTTCGCCATCACAGGAATAAATGACATTTTTAAATATATTAAAATCTAAAACGGTTATTTTAAAATGTAATAACATTTCACAACATGACATTTTTGTATTTTTGATCAAATAAATAAAAGAGAGACTTTCATAGACTCCATACTTTTGAACAGTAATTTTATGCATGCAAATTAAAAAAAATAAAAATAAACAGCATAATAATAATTATTTCTCCTGGCTTCAACAACAGATTGAATTATTTTTTGCTTTTATAATGTTGATTTGTTCATTTGTCATACACTTGTACCTCTCCATCACTCTGACTGGAAGTATGGACTCTGTGATAGCTATACACCTAAACCAATAAAACACTTGGTCAAATTGCAGCATTCAAGTAGACATTTAAATATAGATGGAATTTACTTTATCATTTTAGACTGCTTGAGCACCAGTATGATCTTTATAATGTTTATGAAATAACAGGTGAATATATAAGCCAAAGCGATTAATTGGCTGATATCTGGCCATTTTGAGATTAATATAAATATAAATTAATATTTTGTTTTAAAATATTTTTTGTGAATGATGAGTAATATTGTAAAATACATAAATCTGAAATAAGTGTATGTCTAAATTCAGCATTTATGGCCAAATATTTAATTAAACTAATTAGATATTTAATGGTGAGTCTGTCAGTCTGCGGTCCAAGAAACTGCACCATTCACACACAGAAAGAGCTGATTACACAACCCTTCTGATCAAACCTGCCGCTGTTCGTTTTACTATCAGACTTGTGTGCGTCACATGAATTAAATATTTACATAAGCGCTGCATATCCTGCTGCATAAAACACGTCACAGTCTGGCACACACATCCTGTCATAAGCAAACACAGCTGTACTGAGAGCGTAGTGCATGTCCTGCATCTTCTAAAAGATGAACTGGATCTGAATACCTGACTCCAGAGGTCTGCTCTGCATACCTTCATACTGACGATGGCGACACGAAGGTTGGTCCCCCCCAAATCTACAGCAAGAGCACTCTGGGTCTCCAAAATGTGGTCGATATCTTGAGAGAAGCATTCCTTCACCGGTGGGAAACAGAACTTTTTCTGTAGTGGCTCAGAAAGGTCAATGGACTGCATGAACTTCAAGATACGCTGGACCGCATTTCCATCACCGTAGATCTTGGAGCTAGCGGACAGAGCCAGAACACACAGGATATGTTCAGGGTCTGAGTTTAACGTTATGTTACATTTGAGTTATCTAAGAATGGCCAAAAATGAGCTGACTGATCCAACCATAACAATATGTGATAAAATATAAATATTAGATAAAAATCTTAACTTGCCTTGGCAACTAACTGAAATAAAATAAGTTCTTATTCAATAATAAAACTTTAAATTAAAAATAAGCTTAAATTCTATATTACATTCAGTGTTATTTTTAATGAATACTATTAAACATTAACTGAAATATATTTATGTTCATAACTATATTAAAAACAAACTTAAATCAGAAAAAGAAAAGAACATTAGAAATGTTGCTTTGACAACTCAGGAAATAAAATAAGTTTAAGTTGGAATACTAAAATTGTACTAAAATTACTTTTTAAAATTACACTGGTACTAATACTACCACTAAACTATAATGGAAAAATAAATAATTAAATCCTTAATAGAAATATAAAACGAAAAAAATATCAAAATAAAATCACAAAAAAAAGTAACAAAATTACTAAAACTTAAAATAAAAATTAAACTGACAACTGAAAATACTAAAATAATTTTATTATTTAATGTATTTATTATTATTCAAATATGATTGAAAATAATGAAATAAAAAAAGTATATACACACACACACACACACACATATATATATAAATAAATAGATATATATAGTATGAAAGAGAGAGAGAGAGAGAGAGACAGACATAATAAAATAATAAAATTAATTACCAGGGGTAGCGTTTTCCAAACTGCAGCTCCAGAGCATGGTATATTTTATTATGCGTGTCTGCATCTCGCACGTGTAGAACATTTTCCCCTATTGCCAAAAAAAAACATGAATTGGTAAATATGATCCATCAAGACTCGTACAAAAGATTTAAACACTCAGTTAAAGAAAAAGCAGTCTGGGCCTGTTCAGAAGAATAAACATGCCATGCTGATTTCAAGGATCCTGTACATCATGAATGGAAAAGAACAAACACTATAAAGAGTACAGAAGAGTGATCATATCTTGCCATAATGCTTTAATTTCCTCTGTAAAGGTCAGTCATTCATATTCCTAACTAATCTCACCTGTTTCTCGGCCTGTCTGGCGACTCCCCAGGTTAATGACAGGTGTTCCGAACGCTCCGGCCTCACGAACTCCACAGCTGCTGTTCCCAATCATGCAGCCGGCGTGTGCCACCAGCTGGATGAACTGATCGAACGGAACATGCTTCACCGCACGGAAGTTCGGATGCTGTTCGATTCCCTTCCGCCTCATCACACGAACCATCTCCTTACTTCCTACATGACACAAAACACAGAGCAGTATGGTGTTAATGGAGCGGAATTCTACTACACTTCTATAGCATTTATTCAGGGAAGGATTCCTAAGGTTGCTTCAACTGGTAAAGTTTTTTGAACAATTAATCCAAATGTCTGGCTCATAAGAGTCACAATTCTATTTTTTTCCAGAGTTTACATTTAATTGAAACTACAATTATGACATATTATATTAGGTGTTATTAACTAAAACTACTAAAAAATGTTAATTGAAATAAAGCTTAAATAAAATGAAAGAGAAATATTAGATGCAAAAACCTTTAAAAACAAAAATTAGAAATGTTTTCTTGGCAACTAACGAAAATAACATTTTAGTAGAAATACTAAAATTACTACAACTAAAACTAAAAAATAAATTAAAGCTAAAAATATTTTTTTTTTATTCAAATGCCAAAAACTAAGATCACATTACTAAAATCTAAACCAAATTTAAAATGAAAACTATATGAAAAATGTAAAACTAAAAGCAAATGTAAAACATGGATAAATACTAAAATAGTATATAAGTAATACAATGGCAAATGTCTCATTACATTAGAAAGGCCCTGACATTTGGGGTGGGTGGAATGTCCACAAATGTATATCATAGTAACTGTCAAAATACAGTTATTTTTTGCAGTAACTTAAAAAATATATAATAATATAATATGTGACCATGGACCACAAAACCAGTCTTAAGTGTCAATTTCTCGAAATTGAGATTATACATCATATGAAAGCTGAATGAATAAGGTTTCCATTGATGTATGGTTTGTTAGGATAGGACAATATTTGGCCGAGATAAAACTATTTGAATATCTGGAATCTGAGGGTGCAAAAAAATCTAAATATTGAGAAAATCGCCTTTAAATTTGTCCAAATTAAGTTCTTAGCAATTCATATTACTAATCAAAAATGAAGTTTTGATATATTTATGGTAGGAAATTTACAAAATATCTTCATGGAACATGATCTTTACTTAATATACTAATGATTTTTGGCATAAAAGAAAAATCGATAATTTTGAGCCATACAATTTACTTTTGGCTACTGCTACAAATATACCCGTGCTACTTATGACTGGTTCTGTGGTCCAGGGTAACATAACATAACATAACATAACAAAACATAATATGAATTTTAACTAAAATGAAAACAAAAACTGAATATATAAAACAAAACCTAATTCAAAATATGAATAAATATTACAATAGCACATAACTGACACTAAAAGAACATTGATTATATAGTGTCTGCATTTTTTGCTGAATGTTTTCATTTTGGTCACCTACTCCCATCCTTGTGTTTCTGTAAACAGTTCTATTCCAACGGAAGAAACAGCAACTCTGCATTGACTGCTGTCTCCAGTAGTGTCTACCTGTCATTAAGACCAAACTCAAAACAAACCGCCAAACTGTTTTGTCTGTTTCTAAAGCCCTTGTATGTTATCTTACACTGCTGATAAAACCACTAAGGGTCACATAAAGCCCTTCAATCTGAGAGAAACTGCAGCTGTACTCAGGAAGCAAAAGTGTGTATATAGTGTTATCGGTCACAAAAAGTGGGAAAAAACTGAGAAAAGACAGACAGAAAAAAAAACAAGAGAAAGAGCCGACCTGCATCAATATTCGGGAAGAGAACGAGAGTTCTCTTGTTGAAGGAGATGAGGGCGTCCAGCATTAACTCATAGATCTTAATGGAATTCTTGATGTCTGTGGTAACAGGATGCTGCAGAGCTACAATATAGTCCTGTTCCTTCACATCATCCCCTGTTTAAGAGATAAATAAAATCACATATACATAAAAGACAGCATTAGAAGTTTTTAATAAACTTTAAATTAGTTATTTTGCGCTGTTTTGATTGCACAGTCTTCATTGTTTATCTCTAGTAACTGCCATCTCAACCCATTCCTCTATAGTACATACCAAGCCACGACTTGATGATATCAGTATAATCGTCTCGTTCGTGGGCGGAAAGCAGCTTGTCGTATGACGGGCAGCCAGCCAATAAAATGTGAGAGTGGTCTTCGCACATAGAGATGAGGTGTCTCTCTGCCGAGCGCGTGCAGACGGCGTGGTAGTGTGCCAGTTTGGAGATGGCGTGACGAATGGAATCATCAATGGTGCCGCTCACTTCTCCACCTTCCAGGTGCAAAATGCGAATGTTCATTAGAGCCGCTGCCGTCGCCAAGGCCAGAGCGTCAAAACGGTCACCGTGAACGAGCAGAATGTCAGGGGCGAGACGCTGGAGCACGTCGGGAAGCTTCACGAGCGCGAGACCCACAGACTCCACCATAGCAGCTTCGTCCTCACCACGAACAATGGTGTGCAACTTAGAGCTGATATCGAACTCATCCTGTTCAATCATACGAAACGTGTTTCTGGGAAAGAGAGAAAGAAACTATCATTAACTATGATTTAGGGCTGCAATTAATTATTATTTTGATCATCGATTATTCTGACGATTATTTCTAAAAAAATATATAATTTAAAACAATAATTTTGCTTAATAAATTCATTTTAATACATTATTAAAATTGTTATTGCACATCCTGCCAAACAAATTTGTTGTAAATTATTTTAATGATTCTTATTGAATTTAGCGATTAGTTTTTGCAGCCCTACTATGCATCAAAGAGCAAGAAAGTTCCATCACAATTCAGTATGCAAATACATTTAAAAAAGAAGACCAATTTGGATTCAGTATGCAAATATTACAATAACATCTTAGCTGTATGTTAGTTAGAATGGGGAACATTTTCAGCCAGTTTTCTACATTTATAATTTTATTTTTAGTATTTAGCATCAAAGAGAGAAATTATGTAGAAACCAAAGCCTGAGTGGTAAGAGACAGCATGCTGTCCATTTACAGTACTTTGACCTGTAGGTAATGTCAAGTTTACATGGCCCAAGGAGGAGTCAAGACTGGTTTGGCTTCACTGATAAAAGACAATGGCTTCTAGCCACCATCAGCAGCCCACTGTGAGAGCCAAGCTCCCACCGTCAAGTGCTGCATTCCAACATTTCCATGGCAACAGTGAGAAATAGTGCTGATTCATGTTCTGAAGCTCTCAAGCCCAGATGAAGATAGAGTTACTGGACCTGTGGCTTATCTTGCTCTTTATTTTACTGCTATGAGAAGTTATCACCTAAATTACAGTCAATACAGATCAGGATCAGATCTGTTTAAAGGAACAGTTCACCAATTAATAACAATTCTATCTCACCGTCATGTCACATTTCAAACCTGTAGGACTTGCTTTCTTCCATGGAACACACACAAACACAAAAGATTTAATAAAATAACATTTTGAAGAATGTCTCAACTGTTTGTCTGTAAAATGAAAACCAGTGGGAACCAAAACAACTTTGGATCACACCGACTTTCAATGCATTGACAAAATACCTTCTTTTGTGTTCCATTGAAGAAATAAAAGCATTTCAGTTTTGGAATGACAAAACTAATTTACTTAGAGTCATGATTGTCAGCTGCTCTGATATGCAAGATTCCTTAAACAATTTAATGTAGATCAGTTAAATTACTTATGATCAGCATAATCTAGCAGTCTTACCCGTAATCATCAATGAGATGTGAACCCAGCACCACCACCTCCAGGTCAAAGATTTCAGGGTGAGACTTGATGCCGAACATGATGGGTGCGAGTTTAGAGTAGTCCGCTCTGTTACAGGTGGCCACGCACACACGTAGTCGTTCCTTCAACCTCTTCTCCGATCGCTCCATCTTCTGCTGTGCTTTCTGTGTCCTCAGATAGTAAAGTTCCTAAATGAGGAACATGTTTACAAATGTATACAGTATTCTGAGAATGTATAAAGAAGAATGAATATGCGAAATTAGTCACAGCTTAGTAACACTTTGGAAAAAGTTACTACATAAGCAAATCATTAAAAGCAATAGTTTATTTAGTGCCATCCTTCCACTAGAAGACATAGTCCCTGACATGTAAACTAAAGTTAATAGATATTACTTCAGTATATTGAATTTCAGCACAACTTGAACCCTGTATTGACCAATCATCATCCAAGATTGGAACTTGATCTGTTCCACTACCGTGCAAAAGATTGGAGTTTGTAATTATATATATATATATATATAATTTTTTCTTTATTTATTTATTAATAGGCTACTTTAATTCAGAAAGGATGCAATTAATTGATCAAAAGTGACAGTAAAGACATGTATAATGTTACAAAAAATATCACAGTTCCCAAAATTATATTAAGCAACACAACTGTAATTAGAATTGTTTCTTGAGCACCAAATCAGCATATTAGACTGATTTCCGGAGGATCGTGCAACACTAAAGACTAGAGTAATGGCTGCTGAAAATCCAGCTTTAAAATATATTAGAAAAGAAAAACAATATTTCACAATAAGGCAGATTTTACTGTATTTTTGATCAAATAAATGCAGCCTTGGAGAGCATAAGAGACTTTCAAAAACATTTAAAAAATCATACAACAATATTTTCTGGGATTTTATTGATAACGATAATTCGATTATATTTCTGCTGAGTGTGTTATTGTGCTCATATCTTAAGGACTGCTGTGGACAGCTGACTCCTAAAGTTTTTGATATTCTTCATATTCTGTGTGGTGATCAGTTCACAGCAGTGATAGAAATTAATCTTTTCCAATAAGTTTAAATTGATTTTTTAGATCTGTTTAAAGGAACAGTTCACCAATTAATAACAATTCTATCTCACCGTCATGTCACATTTCAAACCTGTAGGACTTGCTTTCTTCCATGGAACACACACAAACACAAAAGATTTAATAAAATAACATTTTGAAGAATGTCTCAACTGTTTGTCTGTAAAATGAAAACCAGTGGGAACCAAAACAACTTTGGATCACACCGACTTTCAATGCATTGACAAAATACCTTCTTTTGTGTTCCATTGAAGAAATAAAAGCATTTCAGTTTTGGAATGACAAAACTAATTTACTTAGAGTCATGATTGTCAGCTGCTCTGATATGCAAGATTCCTTAAACAATTTAATGTAGATCAGTTAAATTACTTATGATCAGCATAATCTAGCAGTCTTACCCGTAATCATCAATGAGATGTGAACCCAGCACCACCACCTCCAGGTCAAAGATTTCAGGGTGAGACTTGATGCCGAACATGATGGGTGCGAGTTTAGAGTAGTCCGCTCTGTTACAGGTGGCCACGCACACACGTAGTCGTTCCTTCAACCTCTTCTCCGATCGCTCCATCTTCTGCTGTGCTTTCTGTGTCCTCAGATAGTAAAGTTCCTAAATGAGGAACATGTTTACAAATGTATACAGTATTCTGAGAATGTATAAAGAAGAATGAATATGCGAAATTAGTCACAGCTTAGTAACACTTTGGAAAAAGTTACTACATAAGCAAATCATTAAAAGCAATAGTTTATTTAGTGCCATCCTTCCACTAGAAGACATAGTCCCTGACATGTAAACTAAAGTTAATAGATATTACTTCAGTATATTGAATTTCAGCACAACTTGAACCCTGTATTGACCAATCATCATCCAAGATTGGAACTTGATCTGTTCCACTACCGTGCAAAAGATTGGAGTTTGTAATTATATATATATATATATATAATTTTTTCTTTATTTATTTATTAATAGGCTACTTTAATTCAGAAAGGATGCAATTAATTGATCAAAAGTGACAGTAAAGACATGTATAATGTTACAAAAAATATCACAGTTCCCAAAATTATATTAAGCAACACAACTGTAATTAGAATTGTTTCTTGAGCACCAAATCAGCATATTAGACTGATTTCCGGAGGATCGTGCAACACTAAAGACTAGAGTAATGGCTGCTGAAAATCCAGCTTTAAAATATATTAGAAAAGAAAAACAATATTTCACAATAAGGCAGATTTTACTGTATTTTTGATCAAATAAATGCAGCCTTGGAGAGCATAAGAGACTTTCAAAAACATTTAAAAAATCATACAAATTCCAAACCTTTGCTTGTATGCTTAAATAAAAGAAAAAAAAACAATGAAAATACTATTGTAGTAAATCAGAGCAAGCTTTTCATGCCAGGGGTTTCCAAATTGAGAAGGATCATACTTACATGAGTATTCCTGACCTGAACACTCTGAGGCATGAAAACAGAATAAGAAAAGAGGTATATTTTGCTATGTCACTTCATAGAGGAATATAAAACTATGCATCCATTATGAAAGTGACCTGCCTGAATACACAATCCTTTATTGCAGCACACATTGCTAAACGCTTTCAATGCCAGAGGACACCTTCAAACGCTTGTACCTTGTATTTGGACATTGACCACTTTAAAGACTTCAAACCTGTTTTACAGGCATTAAGTAAACAACACAACTGGAAAGTAGCAGAAGCTAAATACATGGATTATAGTGGCTATGGTTATGAGTGCCAAAGTCCCACTGCATTATAGGAAAATCACCAAACCTGCCAAAGACAAACTATATTTAACTGTAAATCCTCACACATTAAATAAGTCAGAAAAAAAAAGCCTACTTTTTGGAATGAAACCATGGGCGTCGCTAGGCCAGTTTTAGGGGGGCTATATTAGTTCCATAAACTGTACACAAATTTGTGATCACCTCAGTCCCCTTTAAATTTCATCTGAAAATGGCGGCAGACTTCGATCGGCTCCTCCCAGTCTTTCAGCGCATTCTTTTTTCAATCCGCAGTCCGCAGCAGCGCAGAGCGAGAAACAGAGGACAAGGTGTGTGTTTATTCGATCGGCTCTTTCAGCGCATTCTTTTTTCAATCCGCAGTCCGCAGCAGCGCAGAGCGAGAAACAGAGGAAACAGAGGACATTTATCGATAGATTTTTATAATATCTGCATCTGTGCAGTTCGCCATAAATAAAGTTTACGAAATATCATGGGGGAGCAATAGGTTCCCCATCTACTGTAGCCTAAGTTTTCACTCCGTTCACCCATCATCACACCACAGGTTTCCTCCATATACATATACATATACATA